AGAGTTAGTAATACTTCTCGTAAACTGGAGAACTCCGTGTTCTGTCGAGTTATTTTTTTTTTGAATCCATATTGATTGCTATATATTAAATTGTTTTCAGATAAATGATTATAAATTCTGTTGTATAAAATTCTCTCCAAGACCTTTGAAAATGCAGATAAAATAGAAATAGGACGATAGTTGCTAACATTAGTAAAATCGCCTCTCTTAAATATCGGAACCATCTTTGCTATTTTAGTTGGTTAGGAAAAATTCCTTGCCTAATAGAACAAGAAAAATTTGAAAAAGTACATCTTTTATGATTTTATATGATTTAATAACAATATTTATATTAATATCATCCGCACCTACTGATTTCTTGGGTTTTAGAATTTTAAAAGCGCATTCTAATTCTTCAAAAGTTAGTTAAAACGAATTAAATTGTGATGTATCAGGAATAATTAGATTTCTTATTGGATTAATTGCTTGAAAATTTTTTTAGATAAAATTTGGTCCAACATAAACAAAAAATTTATTCAGCTCATTAGCTATCTCTTCTTTATCATACAAAAATTTATGATTCAATTTGATAGTTTTAGGCAATGTGAGTGTGTTTAACTCTCACAATGACTAATATAAAAATAAAATAAAGCATTCTAATTGTATTTTTTTTCTCAACGCTGGAAAACTTATATAAAAAAGTCAAAAAGAAGACCAAAAAAAAAAATGATTTTCCATATTTCATGGATCGCGGCAATTTTTGGTGATTGAGATAGATAACTTGAAGCAGCCATGGCGCAGTGGTTAGAGTTCTTTATATTCATTGAAAAGTTTCAAATTTCTTCTAATAATACTTTAGCATTCGACAATTATGAATATTTAAAGTTTCCCTCCCTAAAATGAGGGGGTTAAAAACTTTGCATTGTCAACTTTCGAACACTATGGTATGATTAAATAAAATTAAAAATCTGTTGATGACTATAAATTTAGTTTGAAATAACAATTGTATAAAACTTGGCCCTCACATTTGGGGCTGGTGGTACAAGTTTTTTATATCATTACTTATCTTTACATTTGTATTGTATTGTACATATATGTATTTGTGTGTATATATATATATATATATATATATATATATATATATATATATATATATATATATATATATATATATATATATATATATATATATATATATATATATATATATATATATATATATATATATATATATATATATATATATATATATATGTATATGTATATATGTATTTTCTTATATGATGGATAATTTTTTCTTCGTTTGATCTGTAAATGATATTACGGGCCTGGATGATAAGACTTTTGTCTTCTGCCTGCTCCTGTCATATCTTAACTCAAAATGAATATATTGTAAATTATTTATCATAACGAGATTATTATAAGAAAAAGTAAAAGTAAAATCAACGTCATATTAGACTTTAAATTATTAACACTCAACGTTTCAAATATTTTTTGTTACATTCTTTGCTAAATGTTTTTTCTTCGCCCCTTTTGTAAAATTAGTTAAGCAAGAACAAATTCGGTCCTTTTTTTTCTTTGTTTGATTTTCCAATCAGCTCTTTAACTAGATTAATGGTTCTCTTGGACAAATCTTTGACCACATCATAGGACTTAAAAGTAGATTCAAACTCAAGATAAAAATTGTTGAACTTCCAGAACTGTGAAGAACTTAAGCCACGGCAAATCACCCTTTCTATATCCAATCTTATCAAAGATCAGCCAAGGTTGCTAAATTACAAAAGAACTTAAAGATGGAGGCTGATCTTGTTCAAAGTCTAGAGAGTAAAAAAGCTCTTTATTGACCATAACACGTTTAAGTGGAGACACGTTTGGTTCGGCAAGAAGTGTAATGTTCAATGCTTTGGCATTATCTTCTCTGTTTTGGCAACGTTCATCTGCTAAAGCACAACTAAGGCAGGATCAAGGTACCAGCTGTTTCTGTCACATTTAAATACTGAAGTTGCTCCAAGAAGGTTTATATCCATGAGCCTCATCATCTGCAACAGAGCTTTCATATCCTATCGGATGGGCACGGGAAAATCCGGTCAAGTTTAAATTGAGATTTCTCTAAAACTGCAAATGCTTTACATTTCTTTTATTTTTTTTTATTTAAACGTTACTTCCTTATCTTTAATTGTGTTGATAAACGTTTGTTTACAAATCAATGATTTGCAAAATGTTTTGGAAACAAATTGAGGTGCGTAAAAAAGCTGTGAATTTTTTTTGCAAAAATCTATCGATTTCATATTGCTTGATTGCTAAACGTAAAAATGTTCCAAAATCTACAGTCGTAGATACTATAAATAAGTTCAAGACTACTCAAAGCTTTGAAAGAAAACCTGGAAGTGAAAGAAAGAAAACTTTCCATAAATCCAAATAGGTAAAGTGGGTTTTACGTTAACTAAATAAAAAGGACTTCCAAAAAAAGTGGATTAATGCCACGAATAAGATAAAAAATTAAAAATCTGCGAAATGACAGAAACAGCTGTGAGCATCAATCCGCTATAAAATTCGATCTCTTACCAAACAGCCCATTAAGCCCCTTAAAATTAAGTTGAAACTCTAATTGATGTAAAAACATTTAATAATAAAAAAAATCGAAATAAAAATCATTTACGGTTTTTCAGAAATCTCAAATTTAAGTTGACCGGATTTTTTCGTGTCCACCCGATATGCAATATTTTAACAATATTAGATTAAATTATCAATCAAACAGTTAACTAATTTTTTTTACGCAGTTAACTTATTTATTATCTTTAACCTGATATGGGAGAGCAGTTGGCATTACTGCTTTTAGAAGCCACTGAGTGTAAAAAATGCCGACAAACATAGCAAAATCACGAATCTCTTCTATATTTTCTTCTGATAAATTTGAAATGGTTTCCAATAGTAAATACATTTAAAAGTAATACAACGGTTTTTCCACGCATTTAGCATAATGCAATAGACAGGAACCTATTATCTATCACATCTTTATAGAACTGTTCAGTCTCAAGATGTTGTTTATTTATACAAGTTTCTGTTTGAGAATCCTCATCAACGAAACTGTGTCTTTCTCAAGATAATTCCTGACTGATTTTAGGTGTTTCCAAAATATGGTGTCTACAGGTAAGGAAAAGTAGTGACCACTCCAGCTTAAACGCTGTTCTTGTTATAAATCCTTGGCTTTCTAATGATGGAAGCAGTAGTATCAAAGCTTTATTTGGCAATTAAGAAAATCTCAATGAGTGGAGCCTGGGAACTACCAAAACCCTGAAACTTGTACCACCAGCCCCAAATGTGAGGGCCAAGTTTTATACAATTGTTATTTCAAACTAAATTTATAGTCATTGACAGATTTCAAGTTTCATTTAGTTATATTTTAGCGTTCGAAAGTTATGACAAAATGAGGGGGGTAAAGTTTTTAACCCCCTCATTTTGGAGAGGGAAACTTTAAAAAGTCATAATTGTCGAATGCTAAAGTATTATAAGAGTATTATATAATTTAGTTTAGAATAGCAATAGTATCAATCTCGGTAACTCATTGCCCTCATATTTGGGGCTAGGGGCACTAGTTTTGGGGTTTTTGTAGTTCCGAGACTCCAATCACTCAAATTTTTTTTGAAACATCCTAATTTAATATAAGTATAAACATACCCAAGTTTGAAGTTTTTTTATTATTCAACTAAAAAAAGTTTAAGGGTGGCACACGGCCAAAAAAAAATTTTTTTTTTGGCCGTGTGCCACCCTTAAACTTTTTTTAGTTGAATAATAAAAAAAAAACTTATTTATAAAGCAAAAGTTTGCGCACCTTATAAATTTTCACTCTAGTCCAAAAAAAATTTTAACCTAATTCTGAACCACCCTAATATATATATATATATATATATATATATACAGGCGCGGATCCAGCATTTTTTGATGTTTGAGATATCTAACTTTCAGACATGGAACAAACTCCAAAAATTTATATGTTTATACTTATGTCAAATAAAGATGATTTGCTAAAAATTGCGACGATTGGAGTCTGGGAACAAAAAAGCCCCAAAATTTTGGCCACACAAACCCCAAACAAGAGAGCAATAAGTTGATAAAATATTTTTTGTACAATTCTTAAGTAAATTTATATTCATCGATAAATTCTAAATTTCATACAATAATCTCTTAGTGTTCAAAAAACATGACCTTCCAAAATTTGTAACCCCCTCAAATTGAGGGGGGTTAAAGCTTTGTGCAATTATTATTTTTGAACACTAAGAGATTATTGTATGAAATTTAGAATTTATCGATGAATATAAATTTACTTGAGAATTGTACAAAAAATATTTTATCAACTTGTTGCTCTCTTGTTTGGGGTTTGTGTGGCCAAAATTTTGGGGCTTTTTTGTTCCCAGACTCCAATCATCGCAATTTTTTGCAAATCATCTTTATTTGACATAAGTATAAACATATAAATTTTTGGGGTTTGTACCATGTCTGGAAGTTAGTTATTTCAAACATCAAAAAATGCTGGATCCGCGCCTGATATATATATATATATATATATATATATATATATATATATATATATATATATATATATATATATATATATATATATATATATATATATATATATATATATATATATATATATATATATATACATATATATATATATATATATATATATATATATATATATATATATATATATATATATATATATATATATATATATACATACATATAATCAGCGCCGGCCTTAGCTTTTTTGACAGGTTGGGCAAAACTGGGTGAACGCGCCCCTAGGTATATATGGGTAGGTTGTTACCATTAACAACGAGACCAATGCTCTAAAATGATGAACAAGAGTGCTAAAGGTTTAGTTTAATGCAAAGAGATCCATATTGTGCATCAAGTTTCTTATTTAATTAATTTTTTATTAGAATTGTAAACTTAGACTTTTCATGATATGGGTTTATAGAAATGAGTGACTAAATAAATAGACAACGCAACGCTGCTTTAAAAATAACAAATGTTTTTATTAAACATATAATAAATCCTCTAACTATATAAGCAAGAGTTAAATTTTAAATTTTAAAATCTAACTTTTCTAGCTTTTTTGTCCGCGAAATCTCTTATCAAACTAGAAAAATCTAAATTTTCAGCTATATCTTGCTCGATTGATAACATAGATAGAGAATTAAGTCGATCTTGCAACATGGTATTTCTTAAATATGTTTTGATTAACTTCAGTTTAGAAAAACTACGTTCTCCACTAGCAACAGTAACAGGTATTGTAAGAAGAATGCGCAGAACAATCCATGTATTTGAATATAACTCTTGTAGACAATGTTTTTTAATAAGATTCAGTACAAAAAGTGGTGTCATCTCTTTTGTATTTATTTCATTTTCAACATTGCTTAATTTATCTTTTATAAAAAACTGCACACTTATTAGTTCGTCGCATAGCAAAGCACCATCGATTTCTGATTTTGTATTTACAGTTAATTTTTCTTGTAATTGTTTACACAATTTTAAAAGTTCATTCTTGATGGGCAAATTATCCAAATAAAATAAAAAACTCCATATATTTACATATTCGTTAAGTTGTTCAAATCTTTCATTTATTGACGACAGACATGTATCTAATAAAGGGTTAAAAAATGTCACTTCAAGTTTCTTCTCGGGATTTTGAATTGGTTCGTCAAAAGCATTTTCATCATAATGACGTTTCACTCGTCGCACTCTTTTAAGCGGCTTAAATATTGCATCGATGTTCAACTCTTCAGCTAACTCTTTGGCATCAACCGTTGCTTGTTTAAAGCCAAACGTTCTGTAATTTTCCAAAAATGTGATGCATTTTTTCAACATTTCAGCGCACTGTACTAGATCCATGTCTTTGGCTTGCATTGCTTTACTAACAACGTTTATTTGGAATAGTACATTGTACCATGCAATTAAAGAAACTAAAAAACTATAGTCTTTTAATTGTTCTGCTAATGTTTGCGCTTCGTGTGCAATATCGGGAGTTTCGGTTTCAGTTTCATATATAGTAATTAAAGCATCATGTACGCTGCTTATTTGGTATCGGATGGCTTTGAGGCTCTCAATTTTGGCTTCCCAACGAGTCTCGCATAATCGTTTAAGAGTGAAGTTTGTTGTATGACTAAGTAAAACATTCCAGCGTGAAGTTGATGCAGAAAATAATGTGAATAATCTTTGTATTATGCCAAAAACGTTAATGGAATTTAGTGAAGACTGCGCTGCGTCACAAATAACCAAATTGAGAGAATGACTTCCACATGGAAGGTAAAAAGCCATCGTAAGCGAGAGTTGTTCTTTGTGAGATACGTCAGGAGTGCAGTCAGCAATAATAGAATAATATGTACTTTTTAGAGCTTTGGATATAATTATGTTGGTTACTTTTGATGCCATTATATCTATCATTTCATTTTGAATGGTTTTTCCACAGTAATGATCAGAAATATCTCCTTTAAGAGCTAGCGTGACGTGGTTTAACATGATAGGATCAAATTTAGCGAGTAATTGTACCAATCCTAAAAATTTGCCGTTATTAACTGCATACAATTTATCAGAAGAACCTCTGAAGGCCATATTATTTGTTGCCAAGTATAAAGTAATGTTCATCAATCGTTCAAGAACACTTCGCCACCTTAAACTGTCCTTTTCGATTAGTTTTTGTTCTTGTTTATCAATAGTTTCTCCAGCTTTCATTCGTATTTCTGTCTCAATCCATAGTTGATAAGCAATTCTGTGTGACTTACTATTTTCGTGAATTTTTAATGCTTCTGTTAAATTCTTCCATTTATTGAATCCATTTCCGTTTAACTTTAAATTCATGTTGAAATCAAAAAGTTTGCAGCAAAAACAAAATACCGCATCTTTATAAACTGAGTACACAAGCCAACGTCGTGAAATAACCTCACCATTTGAAAGTTTTCGGTTGTAATAAGCATTTGAAAAATGTCGTCTTCTATTATCGCGTGGATATGTGTCCAAATTAACTTGTATTGCACCTATATTAATTACATAATCAACAAATTGAATGTTGCGAAGAATTGGCCACATACCACAGTCTGAGTAATCGATTGCTGTTTCTTTGGTGCGATCATTTACATCACCGTCTTGGCCATCATCATTTTCGTTATCTTTTTCATCGTAGTGAACATTTCCAACTGACACTATTCCGTCTTCTTCATCGCTGGTTGATGTATCACTAAGTACATGCGCAGCATTTTCTCCTTCCTTTATTTTATTACAATCACTATTTTCCGATGTAAAATAATTTTCAAGTTTTTTATAATTTTTCTTCAAATTATCAACTTTTTCTGCTTTACGTTTTCTGTATTGAGCACCAGATGGTTTCTTATTATTATGAGTTTTAAAAACATTTTTTTCTTTATTATGAGTACTCTCCATTGATTGCTGCTGACAGTTTCTATTTGTCTAAAATTTTAAAATAAAAAATTACTCGCAAGCTAATAATTCATAAACAATTTCATTATTTATACTTACCTGCTTTTTATTACCGCAAAATTTGAAAACTTGACAAAAACTGAATTTGAATCACAAATACAACTTTAAATTTTTTCTACAAATTAATAAACGACGCGCTCGCAACTCGTTTCAAAAATAATGTTTAAAATTTAAACTTTAAATAAATGGAACGCAAAATAATTGGCGCCGAGAAAGATACAATTAAAAAAATGATTTTAAGTGACAAAATGTATGCTATGATTGAAACACTTTTAATCAAATTATTACTTTTGCATAAACAATTTTTAACAGTGTAATAATACAATAAACAAATTATTTAAAGAAGTTATTTTTGTAAAAAAAACAAACATTCGAAAAAATAACAAAAAATCGAAAATCGAAATCGAAAAAATTTAGGTTGTGGATCGTCCATAAACTACGCAACGCAAAATATATTTTAAGAACAGGAGTAGGAGATATTAGGCTCTTTTACGCGGCGATTTTCATTTGACTTAATTTCCTATTTTCATTGTTTATTTAAATTAAGACTGTGCGAGGGAAAACTTTTGATCTTTTTTTTTGTTTTGTTTTTTGTGAAACTTTGCGTTTCGTAATTTATGGACGATCCCTTGACTTATTTTTTCTATTTAGTATATTGTTAAAGTTTGCATACAACGTTTGGCGCCCCAGTTTCCTGGCGCCCTTGGGCGGCGCCCAACCTCGCCCCCCCCTAAGGCCGGCACTGCATATAATATATAAATCAAATATAATAAAATATTTTACTCAAAATTCATTTTTTTTTTCGGTTGTATATCTTTAATGCTGGTAATGTTATTTTAAAAGGCAACGTGTAGTTAGAATATAAATATTATAAATATTTAAAGTTTTTCAAAAATTTGATAAATGCGGGTCTAATATTTCATTTAAAAAATTGCGCGTGGTTAAATAGGCATCTCAAAAAATACTAAACCAAAAAAATTTAAAACAAATATTAATTAGAAACATGTTCATAAAAGCAGTAGCGTTGGTGAGGTTGGTTCACCTAGAGTGGCCAACTTTCGGTATTATCCCTCTAGACAAAAAAAACTATGAAAATTCTTCTAACTTAAAATTTTTTTAAAAAAAAAAAAAAGTTCACGAGTGATCTTAACTAACTCTTTCGGAAAATCAATTTGAAAAAAGATAAAAATCTATTCATTTTCATAAGGCCAGGTGAATAAAAAAAAGCAATTGGTTTTTACTCTAGTGTTTCATGGAGTAATTGCTGAGCTTTACATGAATAAAAATTTGAGCAAAATCGCTCCAATTTTTATTCTCGTAAAGCTGAGCAGTTACATTAAAAATGCTGAGTAAAAGCAATTGCTTTTTTTTTATTTACTTAATCTATAATGTTTACATATATAATATTTAGATATATAATAAATACTTTACAACATATAAAACTAGTACATAAGCGGTAGGATGAGTTAAACAGAAAATATTCTACTAATTTCCTATGAAGAAGTATGCTATTCAAGATGACGTAAGCTTTATCAAAGTTGCTTGCAGATGCAGTGAAAATGATTTTGGGTTTATTGGAATTGGTGGCGCAATTTGACATAAAATTAATCTTCTTTAAGATTAATTATTTGCTCTGTAGTTGGTCATTTGAAACATTTTTTGATCTTTAGCTATTGATGGCTCGTTGTAATCTTTTCTTAATAAATAAAAGTTCTAACTTTACCAGACTTTATAAAGTGCCTCAAATATATAATTTCCATTATATGAACTAACATTATCAAACATTGTAAAAATCTTTGTTATTACGTTTTCGCTTTAGGTATTTTTTAGTATCTTCGCCAAGCAAATCTTTTTTTCCCCGTATTGCATCAAGTACATTACCGTTCATCATTATAGAAAGATCTAGATTGTCGCGATAACGATTACCTGAAAAAAATGAGTTTTATCTAAGTTAAAGTTCACCAGCTACTGAGAGCCCCATGCTGTAGCAGAAGTAAGTTCCATCAGAGGGTGTTGTCTTTTTATAAAGACAAAAATAAATCGTAGTATCATAAGCAAACAATGGCACCTTAGGTGTAAAAATTTCTAGGAAGTTTTTAAATTTAAAAAATATCTGCTTAAGTTAAACTATATTACTGGTGTATAAGTGCACACAAGGAGCTCAGCTTTTGTTTCTTACAATATTATATTATTTTTTCATGTATTTTGCTTTGAAAAATCTTCAAACGCATTATGGAAGTCAAGATTTTGTGCTAGTTGCCACCAAAACGGCAAAACCACCTGCTTGTTTTTTTCCCACAGCTGAGCAAAAAAATTCTTGATGAGCTTTAATTGAATTTTTTCATGAGTGGAAGCTCACTTGAGGCTACTGTGAATGAAATTAAAGCAGAAATATGCCATTCTAACAAATTTAAGATACGTCTAATATATTTTGTTAATCCGTATTTTTAACTTTCAAATTAAAAAAAAGACACATTATTAATGTTTTTTCTGACTCTTTCTTTTTTTCTTACTCATAAGTAGTGGTCAAATTCAGTCAGATCATCTTCAAATATAATTTATTAAGTTCAAACATTTTGTTTTGCTTTTTATATACTCATAATTTTTGGTTTACTTTTATATTGCATCATGATACCCATTTTTAAATAAATGGAGGATAAGTTGTTTGATTTTCAATGTAATGATCACAATGTTTCATTGCTTAAAAAAAAACATTTTACAATTGCCAAAAAAAATGGCACAACCTTATGAGGTTTTCTTACCTCCTAATTCATTAAGCGTGTGCATTTTATGTCTCCATGATATAACACAAAATTATTTATCTTATGATGATGGTTCTATGAAAAATAATCTATGGGATAATAAGAGAAAAATAACAGAAGCTGGCCTACATATAGAAATTTTATAAATGAAAAACTAATTAATTCAAAAAAATATAATTGTATTTGTAAAATATGCTATACAGATTGAAAAATAACATTAGCAGAAATACAAAAAAATATAAATGCCATCTCAAAAGGTCGTGAAATTCTTAAAGAAAACTCACAAAAAATATTGATATCTACACCAACAGCAGAAGAAACAAATAGTAGAATATTTTCGAACAAAAAAATGAAGCTTGATCAATTTTAAAGGTTGTTTATATTTTTGTTTTGTATTATTATACTTTTCATCATTAAAATCTGTTTTGGAATGAAATTGAACATATGGTCTATCAAGATAGCTTTTATATTTTACACCTTTTTGACCTTGTTCTTTGTGAAAGTACGAACAAAATGATCTTACATCAGTCATTTTTTTAGTTCTTTCAGCTGAATAATTATTCAAAAGAATATCTTGAACAACTGGGAAGAAAAATTTCTTCTTTCTGGTGTAGATGATATAATAACTAAATTATGCATACAATGATTATCAATAATGGTAGCTCAGTTTGTTAAAGCACTGTTATAAGTTCGGGATAGTTCAGTTGGATAAAGCACTGTTATAAGCTCGGAATAATTATTGGTCGCAGCAGCAGGATTGGAGGTTTAAATTCTGGCTCCGCCTACTCAGCTATTACAATGTTTCCTTCTTGACTAGTAAATAAATAATCTAGTCGAGTAAATGAAAACTATCGTTTACCATTTTTGTTTAATTGCATTTGCTGTCAATGCCAATTCTGGAATCTCTTTAGGAACAAGTGATCACAATTCTGAATCTATTATCATGAGACCGAAATACATCTGATTGTGTACTTGGACTTCCCCTATAAAAATTACAGACAAATAAGGTATAAATAGAATCATGTAAATCACAAGATTTTGCTCATATAATGCTATAGGTAATGCATTTTTTCTTTCAATGAGCAAAATTTTTTAATTTTAAAATAATTTTATATATGAAAAGGTCATTAAAGTTGTAAATTTTAATGTTTACTAAAGAAGCAAATTTATTTATATAATAAAATCACTTACCACTTTTTCACACAATGGCTTTCATCAGCTGCAACTGCAACAAGTTTCTGATTAAAAGCAGAGTCATTGACAATTGCTCAATAAGTTGTTACAATGGCTTCAGGTGAACAAAATATTACATTTGTTTCATTGTAATTTATCTAAAAAAATAGTATATACTTTTAAACAATAAACAACACTCCATAATTCAAAAAAAAAAAAATTTATTTGAGGCATGTTGAAATTCAATATCAGAATAATATATTTTCTAATAAATGCTTAAGGCATTTAGAATTAATAATGAAAAATCAAAATATCATAAATATCATAATAAAATATAATAATGAAGTAGCATAATATAATGAAATATCATATTAATGAAATATCATAATTATCTAAATGCATTTAGCATTAAAAATTTCTCAATAAATGATTAATTATTTTGCATTCACTAAAAAATATTTTACATATTTTCTACAGAAAATTGAAATAAAAATTCCAAAGTTTATGAACATTTCAGAAAAAAATGTATAATTTCTCAGGGTAATTACCCAGCAAAAACTAGACCTTTTCTAGGAAAAATGGAAAACTTTATTTGTTAAATAAAACAATGTATAATAATGATAATTATTGTCTCTGCCTGTTAGTTTGCAAACAAAACAATCTCTGCTATTGCTGAGAGCTATTAAATTTTCTTTTAGGTAATCCTTCAAAGATTTAATACGAAATAAGTTACAAACTATTTTGAAAGCATACTCTAAATTATCCTTTTTCATTTTTTATATTGCTTCTGAATCGCACTGATAATTTAATTAACTAAGTTTTGGCGCATTTTTAAAATAAAACCCCCCGAAACTTTGCAATAATACATTAAGATCAAAGAATAGCCGCAGGAACATGTTTGTTCCGGTAGGTAATAAATGGACCTTTCCCATAAATCGGCAAAAACACAATGCATTGTGGTAGTTGTATTCATTTAAATCAAAACAAATGTCGAAAAACCTAATAAATTTTAACAGTGATGTTCAATTAAGTGAAAACAGGGAGATTGAACTTTGTGAAAACAGTGAAGATGATAGTGAAATGACTGAAGGTGAACTCACTTTTAACGGAGAAGTTGAACCTTGTGAAAACAGTGAACAAAATTCGATCTTACTGAGGGAAGTTGAACTCACTTTTAACAGTGAAGTTGACTTCA